TTACTTAGCTCTGTTTAATTCATTGTTTCTCACAGGATGTTTTGTAGTGTGTTTTATAAAGGTTTATATTCTGGGCTCCTAAATCGGAAGAATACATCGAGTTTGATTATCTGTGTCTTTAAAAAGCCTAAGAAACATGCTTCTATAATTGCTGAAGAAATTGATGCTTTGGGACTAGAGATTCAGGCCATTGGCAGAGAGTTTGCATTGTTTGTGGCATTCTCCCCCGACACCCGAAACAAACAAACAATAAAGCCTCCAAATTAACCAGGAAAAAATATGACTCAGAGAGAGAGGGAGAGAGAGCTCGCATGCGTCAGTTAGTTAAGAAATGGACGCTGCCTGTGGGTAGTGCTTGTTAGTGGTTGGTAGTGGCACACACCTTTAATCCCATCACCGGGGGGGGGGGGGGGGGGGGGGGGGGGGGGGGGGGGCAGAGGCAGGTGGATTTCTGTGAATTTGAGGCCAGGACAGCCAGGGCTACACAGAGAGACTCTGTTGAGAAATAGATGCTGTGTACATGGGGACCTTGCTTTGAGAACGTTGTTGTTATGTACCTGTATTCAATTAGTTGACTTTAATAACCACAATGTTAGTAAAAGTTTTATGGGCCTGAGCTGGTTAAAGATTTCTATCAATAATGAGATTATATTTCTTCGCTTTTGTTTTTTTTACAAATTTGGCTATATACCATTGTAAGTTTGCAATTATACTAGCATTGATCAGAAATAATACCTTGTAAGAATTAATGGTAAAATATAAGCTCTTTTATGAGCGCTGCCATGTGTGACTTCCCACAAAGACGTCTGTCTGACCCTGCTGTCCGTGCTTATGACTCTTTTTGGAAGAGAGTGTGAGTAACTGGTAATTTGTCTTTCAATTTTCGTGTGTGTACATGATAAAGAACCATGCAATTAGATAGGTGTTATAAATAGGATATGTGAAAAAAGACAAATCATGTTTCCAAGATTTTATAGCCTATGCTCAATGCTGTTTTGCTAGTCTTTAATTTCACTCTTTGGTCTAACCAGCTGACGCCCAGTTGAAAAGACTTATGTTCTGATGAAGCCACAAGAGCCTTAATGTTCACTCTGCAGCTCCCTGAGATTCTGGAGAACACCGTGTACCATCAGCAGCTTATGGCCCCACCCTCCAGCACTAAAGCTCATCTATCAACCTTGAGGCCGAGAGTGAGGGAGAGGAAGCTTCCAGATAAACACACAGCAGCGCCTAAACAGCTAATCACTCTGGGCTTCCGCTTCCAGGCCCTATAATTAGAAGCCCTTCTTTTCCTTGTATTCCCAGATGACGCAAATGCTTTTTGTGGCTTGGCACCTCGTTTGGGGCGTGGGTTTAGTTTATGGCCAGGCCAGCGTCTGGTTTAGTCTTCTGATGCTGCATAAATAGTTCCCAAGCCACAGTCTACTCTGTGAGACTTCTTCCTTTTATGTATATGTGCTTTTAAACTTGTGTTCTAGAAAAAAAAAAGGAGCTTACTATTTCCTTTGCAGAATGTATGTAAAAGAGGAAACTGTAAATTAAAAGAAAGCACTTGATTCTGTAGAACTACACTAGCTGTTTTTTCCTTTTCTCTCTGACTTTTTAAGTTTTCATGTTTTAAAAGTTTCATGAAACATGTAAACTCACTTGTGGGTTTCGAAGCCAAATTTGTTCGGAAGAATGGAAGAGGATAGCATCTGAGGTAGGATACACATATGTATGTAGAGGTACACATGTTAAGGACTGTTGCCCTAAAGGTTTGGAGTGGTTTACATAGGAACAACTAGATAGATCAATGTTGAGAAATGCTCATGTGTGATTGCCACTCACACATAGAACAGTGGTGGCCTTGATTTGGTTAGCCTTCCATTTAAATCCTCATTTTGAGTAGAATGCTATTCTGAAAAAAAGTATATTGATGTTCATCTATAGGATGTGAGTGTATATTTAGTATAAATACAAGCTCCTCTTTTTTCCCCCCTATTACAATGATGTTTCTGTTGTCAAGTGCCCCAAAACGATTTGTGTGGAAAGGTTGCGTCAGATGATAGCCATTGAGTTGTGCTTACTAAAACTTACTGAAACTGAGCAAAAAGCAGGAGTGGAAAAAGCATGCCTGCCATATAACACATGGCTGTGACTAAACATAGACATGCATAGCTTGAGTCACAGTAAGGAAGGAATGGAGAGTGTGTCAGTGACTCCTGCCGTAACTAGGTGCTTCGTGGGAGAGAAGCTAATATGTGTATTGTTATTATCCATTATTAAATTACTTACCATAATTGGTAATTTTCATCATGTAAAATATACGTAGCCAGGAAAATGGCACCTGAGACTTAGTGCATTACCTAGAGCCACATTTAACCCTCACAAACTGCACCCTCAGATGGATGGTAACCTGCCTCCTGTTCTGGTCATTCATGCTCTTCTATTACTACAGGACGGTAAAAACACTGTATGCAAAAATGCAAAAGGACAGACGCTGGAGGCTAGGTACATCAATGTACTCTCCAGAACAGTCAGTTTATATTACAAAGGGATCAGTCCTCAAAACCGGGGCTTAAAGCCAAAAGCTAAAAAATGAAAAAGAAAGAGTTCTTACTTCCCTGGTAGAATAGATATCATGATCAAGAAGGTGTTTTTCATCTATTATTGTACTTTGGGTCTGCTGACCCTTGTGATTTCCTCATATATGCGAAACTCAATTGCATGGAATTGCATGGTTTGTGGTAGCTGGGAACTGTGTTCTTCCCCAGCACACTTACAAAGTAATTCTAAAGAGCTTGGCTGTGGTGGTGCATGCCTTTAATCCCAATACTTATGTCATTCTAAAGCAATATGTGCTTTAGGGAGGCAGAGGCAGATTAATCTCTGAGTTTATGGCCAGCCTGGTCTGCAGGGTGAGTTTGAGGACAGCCAGGACTGCAGAGAAACCCTGTCTCGAAAAACCAATAGTAGTAGGAGTAGTAGTAGTAGTAGAGAATCCAAAATAGAAAAAAAAAAAGATATGTATGAGGAATAAACACTCTTCCACATAAAGCCAAGCAAAGAAATAGGAGACAAGCAGATTAATTAAGCAATGTGAACTTAAATCCTACCCCACTGATAAATGTACTGAGATTGGAGTAAATGCAATAATTAAAGTCATGTTGGATCTGTAATCTGAAAAAGCAGGACGCAATAGGCTTTGTCTGTACTCCCAGGCAGGAGGATCAGATTTCAGAATTCAAGTATCAATTAATATGGGGACCTCTACACATGATGGAATATTACTCAGAAAGAACGACATGTTGATATTTGCAGCAGCCAGGCATGGAAGCACAGACCCCCAGCAATCACACACAGGGAACCTGCAGTCCCATGTGCAGGGCTTGCCAGCGAGCACAGGGAGGTCCGGTGTGCTGTGGACAGTAGTGTAACTCTGGATGACAGTGCCATGTTGTATGTTCAGAAAGTACATGTGAGTCTTCGCCATGAGGAAATGATGAACGATCAAGAACGGAACCTGTTTTAATTATATACACTGTATGCCTGTGTCTAACCATGCAGCTTTTCTCTGGTATAATTTCTGTGTTTTCATGTATCACTTAAAATAAGTTTAATTTTAAAAAGGCATTCACCTATGTGGGAACAGGAGCTTTGTTTATTAATGTATTTTTTCATGCTGGAGATTTAACCTAAAGTCTTCTATGTGCAAAGTGGTAACTCTGTAAATATAGTCTAAATACCTAAACAGATGCACATACACACATCCTGTTTACTAAACAGTAACCTTTTGTAACTTGTTCCTTTGGGTGTGGAAATTGGATAAATGTGTTATTTCTTGACTCACTGGCTTATGGGACAAAAACCCAGAATTAGAAAATTTTTGTGACCTTGGATTGGCCAAAGAACTTGTGACATGTCACCCTTTCAAAGTCAAGAGTATACTTTGGGGAAGGTGCTATTGGCAGTTTCAATAAATGCCATGCCAGGGTGGAGATTATTTTTTACTTCATTAATGTTTAAAATGACACTTATCTATGTGTACGTGCATGTGTGTGATTGCGTGGGAGTGTGTCTGCATTTGTGTGTAGAGATCAAAGGACAACTTGTGGGAGTTGGGTCTCTGGTTCAAATTGGAGTTACCAGGTTTGGCATCAAGTGCCTTGACCTGCTAATCCATGTTAGTTAGTTAGTTAATTGTGGGTGAAGGGTCTCAGTTTTTGTGCAGTCTGGTCTTGAACTCCTGGGTGCAAATGTCTGGTCTTGAACTCCTGGGTGCAAATGATCCCCCTGCCTCGGTCTCTTGACTAGCTGGGAAGAGAGATGTGTAGCACCAATCTAACTCAGCGAGGACTAATTTTACATGAGAGTCTTAGTAGTTTGATCACTATATATTGGAGCTTACTAGAGTCGGTTTAAACTCTGTGATGGCGCATCATTTTCGCATTAATTGTTCCTTTTTTAATTTGTGCGTACATGCCTGTGGAAGGCAGAAGACAATGCTGGCTGCTGTACTTGGGGATGCTGCTCCCCTCCTTTGAGACAGGGTCTCTCATTGGCCTGGAGCTCATGACTTAGGCTACACTGGCCAGCAAGTCCAGGGACCCTCTAGTTTCCATGTTTTCAGTGCTGCACCACCAGGCCAGGCATTTTTACATGAATTCTAGGGATTGAACTCGGATGTTCCTTCAGGCAAAACCAGATGTCACCAACTCAGCTTTCTTCCCAGCCCTCACTCATGTTCTGACAATTACTGTGATCGCTGTAAGTTCTGCATGTAAAATTTCTTTCTGCTGCTCACACATGGACGTCCTACTCCTGTTTAGTGCTTGCCCTCTGTTGGTACTGGTGTGTGTGATGTTCATAGAAAGAATGTGCTTTATTTTAATTCTTTTATTTCATAACCTTATTTCCTTTTCCCCTTTCTTAATACTCAAGAATATTAAGGGTTGTTCTGTATCTTATCCACATACATAATCATTTTTATTTTTATCCTTTGCTTTTTTATCTTCCAGGAATGCTTTTAGTCACAACAGACACTCTTGGCCATGACTTTCATGTCTTCCAAATTCTGACTCACCCTTGGTCATCCTCACAAAGTGCTGTCCATCATCTGTATACTCTTCACAGGGGAGAAACGGAAGCCAAAGTAAGTTGTATATCCTTCTTGAAGTGATTTCCCTGTGTAATATGGTATTTGAGATAATTGGAGATTTATATCAACTTGATTAGTATTTATGAGAAAACAATATTCTCTGTGGTAGAGTGAGTTCTCATAAATTAAGGAAAGACACCTCGTTTTGACCCAGTGAATACCTAAAAAAATATCCACCTTGTTAAAAATGTTGGTGAGGACTGGAGAAATGGCTTAGCAGTTGCGGTCACTTGTTGTTCTTCCAGAGGACCCCAGAGCAGATCCTGGAACCTGCAGTAGGCACTCACAACTTCCTGCATCATGAGACTGCTCACAGCCTCCTGCAGCCACAAGTCCAGAAAATCCAGGAGAACCAGTGTTCTCTTCAAGTATCTGTGGGCACCTGCACACATGTGACATTTACACACATACACACAGATAAATAGTAAAGTAAAAATATTGCCAGAGCTGGAGAGATGACTCAGAGGTTAAAAGCACTGACTGCTCTTCCAGAGGTCCTGAGTTCAATTCCCAGCAACCACATGGTGGCTCACAACCATCTATGATGGAGTCTGTTGCCCTCTTCTGGCCTGCAGACATATATGCAGACAGAGCATCATAACTAAAAAATACACACCAATAATTGTTTTTTTAAAAAAGAAAAGCCTAGATTAAAGAGAAAGAAAACTTGACAGTTGAGTAGATCAGCTTGTCCTTATTCTTGCATCCTAACCCCGTTTGTTGCACAAATGAAACCTGTCGTCAGGTGATCTCTGTTTGTGAGGACCTCCTGAAGGGCTACTTTTCATTTGCTTGCTTTTTAATATATTTTGAGACAGATTTTCTTGTATCCCAGGTTGGTTTTGAGTTCACTGTGTAGCCAAGGATAGCCTTGATCTCCTGATCCTCCTGCCTCCACCTCCCCAGTGCTTGGGTTACGGATGCCTGTCACCATAGTAGGCAGGAGTTAATTTTTAAACATTTATGCATACAGCTATGCAAGCATGAATTTTTACAATACTTTCTTTTATAGGATTTACTGATTATTTTACTAGGTACTAGACATGGAGCCTTATAGTTATTTAGTCATCTCCCCCTCCTCCCCCTCCTCCCCCCCCCCCTTGTCTTCTTTTTCAAGACAGGGTTTCTCTGTGAAGCAGTCCTGGCTGTCCTGGATCTTGCTCTGTAGACCAGGCTAGCCTCAAACTCACAGAGATCCACCTGCTCTGCCTCCCAAGTGCTGGGATTGAAGGCATGGCCACCATTGCCTGGCTCAACATTCTATTCTTAAAATCACAGTGCACACACTGTATAATTTCTCTTTTTCTTACTAGCCTAAAATCTCAGTAGGTGATTTGATTTCACTGAGCTGGTGGCTCTGTAGCTCCCAGCACACCACCACATATTGTTCCATTTTAGAATTTGTAATTGTTACACTAGATATGGTAACAGTATCTGTGTTCTCACCACTGAAGAAATGGAGGCAGAAGGAACCAGCTGGGGTTACACAATGAGGTTTGAGACAAGCTGTGAGACTCTGTATGGGGGAGTTGGGGGGCACAACTAGAAGTTTATTTTTTAATATGGCAAACTATTTTAACTTTATGATACTTGTCTGTCTCAATAAATAGTGGGATTTTATTTTTAAAATAAGTTGTACCTTATTGATTCTTGTATACTTTAGGCCACTCACAAAGCCAGACATATTTTCTCTCAGGTTTTTAATTCACTTTTTATTTTTATTTTTTGCTGGCCCAGTGATAAAACTCAGGACTTCTTATAATCATGGCCAGCACTCAGCATCTCTGAGCTGCGGTCCAGCCCAGCTCTGGATGGCCAGCATGGCCCGCAACTCACAGTGAACATGCATTCAGTACAAATGAGAACATTTTCTTACATAGCCATAAGAAGCCCCTAAAATACTAAATGAAAAGAAGTCTGCCCTTCAAACTGTTAACCCCAGCTAAGTGTCAACACGTGGCACAAGGATCTACCCCAGGAAAAGGGATTGCCATATTTTTAGTCTACTTCTTCTAGAACAGTTCACTATTTCTTGGCTGCTTATGATTTCTGTATATTAAACATTGCATCCCATTTCTTCTCTAGAATCTTCCTCAGTTGTCACAGAGGTGTTGGTGGTCTCATTTTATTCTGTGAGTTGGATTGCAGTTTTCACTGGTAACTTGGGTTGTGTGTTTGAGATACGATTCCACCACATTCTCTAGGCTGGCTGGAAGCCTCCTTCCTCTTGCCTCTGCATGATGGGAATACAAACATGCAGCTTTGCTAATAATTTGATCAGGGTATCAGCATATCATTATGGTTTTCTTTATTCCTCTTTAAAAAGCATGCATTTGTTCAATAATTATTTTAGCATTCAGAGTGGTCCAGATTTGGCAAACTGGTACCCATGGCCTCAGATATATCTCAGAAATGTCTTGACACATCTCTATCAGGGTTTGAGCATTCTTTGATGCGGGACTGACTGCTTTTTGTCCCGCTTAGTTGCCTTTGTGCTGTGTTTTGGACAGTAGTATTATGTTAGATAGTCCTCTTATGTGTAGATTTCATACCTCTAGGCACAGTACACCTCCTTATTCTCATTTATAAAGCCTGTTTGCCTTGTAGGCATCCCCAAGCCTCATCAAAACCATGGAGAAATTGAATGTTTTAAGTACTTGACCCCTGTTTTTGATGCCTTGTTTTTTATTAGTGTTATTTGTTTTTGAACTTACCTTGAAGTTCAATGAGGAATAGCAATCTTGTATAAGGTACCTGATGACAGTAAGTCTTAGGACAGTGTCAGCATTTTCTTTGGAATAAAGGTTTGGTATTGCCAACTGTATGTCCATTCATCAGGTAGGCAAATGAAATAGAACTTTTCACAACAATTTCACTTTAGGATCTACCCTGTAATTTGAAATTTCTAAAAGCCAAACATAAAGATATAAGGACTTAAGTTGGTAACCATAAAATTAATTGTTATAAGGTCTTGCCGAAAATTATTTTGAACTGATAAAATTTAATACCAATCATGAAATCTGTCTGGCACATGATTTATCTGGCCATCTTTGAATACTTGAAAAATCATATTATTCTGAATTTTTCCAAGAACTCCAAGGGCACTTTAATCAGGCAAGGGAAAAAAAAAACAAAGTATATGGATCTAATTACGTTGAATTAAGTTGTTTTGTGGTCTTTGACTGGGGATATCCTCTGCATCTGACAGTAATTTTCCTCTTGAAGCACATATGCTGTGAGAAGAATGTCCTTGTTCCAGCAGCAATAGGAGCCTCACTGATAGATACCCTGTCAGTAGACTCCAGTGTGTCCTACCCTGTCAGTAGACTCCAGTGTGTCCTACCCACACCCCCTCCATACAGATACTCTGTTAGTAGACTTCAGCATGTCCCACCCACGCCCCCTCCATACAGATGCCCTATTAGTAGACTCCAGTGTGTCCTACCCACGCCCTCTCCATACAGATACCCTGTTAGTAGACTCCAGTGTGTCCTACCCACCCACGCCCCCTCCATACAGATACCCTGTCAGTAGACTCCAGTGTGTCCTACCCACCCACGCCCCCTCCATACAGATACTCTGTTAGTAGACTTCAGCATGTCCCACCCATGCCCCCTCCATACAGATGCCCTGTTAGTAGACTCCAGTGTGTCCTACCCACGCCCTCTCCATACAGATACCCTGTCAGTAGACTCCAGTGTGTCCTACCCACCCACGCCCCCTCCATACAGATACCCTGTCAGTAGACTTCAGCATGTCCTACCCACGCCCCCTCCATACAGATGCCCTGTCAGTAGACTTCAGCATGTCCTACCCACGCCCCCTCCATACAGATGCCCTGTCAGTAGACCTTCAGTGTGTCCTACCCACGCCCCCTCCATACAGATGCCCTGTCAGTAGACTTCTGCATGTCCTACCCAAGCCCCCTCCATACAGATACCCTGTTAGTAGACCCTGTCATGCCTTACTCAGTCCCACAGCAGTCCTTTTTGTAGTTCATTTGATGAATAGCAATTTCATTTTTGAAACGTAAAGATTGATGATTCCACATTAAAACAGTCTTGCAAAGTAATGTGATTAATACCTTTTTAGTTCTGAAGTGGAAATGAATCTAATTATTTATATTATTAGTTAAGGCTATTTGTCATTTGTGATAAAAATTCATTTTTAGTGTCTATCTTCCAAATACTGTGTATTTACACTTATACTGATATAGGCATACCACTTTTTTCTGTGTCTTTGGTAAGCCTGTGCATGGCTGGTTATGCCATTTTCTTCAGTCTATCCCTCAAACCTCAATTTTATTAAGATGTAGTTCACAAACTATTGAAGTGTAGAGTTCCCGGGTACCTTACCATATTCTCAGACTGTCACCTGTGCTCGGCTTCTGTACCTTTCTCGTCTCTGAAAACACACACTTCTGCATTCCTGCTTCTCCAGCTTTCCTGTGCATGGGACTGAGATAAGCAAACTACTTTCTTTCAACTTGGTCTTAATTATCTAGACAAGTGGGAGCCTTTCCATGTTTCCTTAGGGCTTACTGAGGACAGGGACGAGGGACTCTCGCTGTGCTTGATGTCTCCTTGGATGAAAGAGATGGTTTCAGCTCTAGGAGACTGAAGTCATAGATTCAGAGGTCAGATTCTGAGAGATCTGCACGGACATCTGAGAGTGTGGAAGGAGCATCCATCAGCAGGGAAGGAAAGATAAAGCTGTATTCAAGGACAACATGATTGATCTTGGCAGAAAGTACAAATTACTCTTTTAAAAATATGCACATAATAAATTGTTTTAACAACATTAAAAGTTAGTATATTAAATCAAGTCTGGTGGTGTAGGTCTGAAATCCCAGTGACATACGTAGGAGGCAGAACAGGAAGATCCTAAGCTCAAGGCCATCCTGGGCAAATTACTGAGACCCTGTCTCTAAAATGGAAAAGAGGGCGGGGTTGTAGTTTAGCAGTTATAGCATTTGCCTAGCTTGTCCAAGTCCT